CATACTAATACAATGACAACTAGTTTAACATCATTATGGTGCGGTGAACATGGTCTTGTACCAGCTTTACATTTAGTTTTCACTTATGGTTTTCGTTCAAGTCGTATATTTCAACGAAAAATGTATGTATGGGATTATTTCGGTATGTAATAGAATTCATTAATTCACTTTTATTTGTGTTTATCAAGGTTTTGTTTTAAATTGATAAAGAAATGTTTTTAATATCCTAATGAGCAGAAAAATTAAATATTCTAATGTTTAATGACTCAATATAACCCACTATTTCCAGTGAATAAAGAGTTTGTTTCATTTAATTAACGTAATTAGGTCGAATCTCATTTTTACAGAGTTTACTTGGTCATATATATATTCGCTTATTTTTGGAAATGTTAATTTCACTGCGTTGTAGGTGTTTTGATTTTGAAGCTCTCACTGTCCTGAACTTAATATAATTAAAGGAAACTCTTTGAGCTACAAATTTCCATAATTGCAGAATATTCGTTTATATACTCAATACATATCAATAATTATCAGTATGGGGATTTATGGAGGTTGTAGTATTTTCACAGTTGAATTCACGAGGCAATCTAAGCTAGACCATCATTGAAAACATGGAAGCATTTGGTCGTGCAACATTATGGATCGATTGAAGTTAGACATTAACGCCGTTGGATGCTGGCTTAGTGGTCTAGAAGTTGAGCGTCCGCGCGCGAATCCGAAGGTCCTGGGTTGCAGTCACAAAGTTGCTAATAAACAGTTAATATCATTAGATATTAGCATGTCCCGTAAATGTGTTTACTCCGGCGACACTACTCTTACCTGAAAGAAATTAGATACGTTTAGTTTTGGCTGCATAAATTAAATTCTGGAAGTGATGATATTTCGAGAAGTTGGCAGTTGTTACACCTAGCCAGTGTCACTTTGAGGTACATACATGTGATTTCCAACAATTTGTTTTGAAGGAATTATCTCTCACCTCTATTCTATTAAGTTTTAAACTGCAAAAATTCATATCATTGTTTCATATACACAAAAAACGTAAATCATAGTTGTTACGAGCATATATAACATGATTGCTAAGTTATACTTGAAATAAACTGACTAGATTACCTTGAAGTTCTTTACTGTTTAAATGAATTTTTGTTTTAACATTTATAAAAATAGAAAAAGTTGCTAATGATTTCTTGGCGAAACTTCAACCTACTAATCTTGATCGACAGAACCAACAACAACAGAGTATGGATTTCCGAGTACCAGAATTGCAAACTTCCAGTAGAATTAACTATTTACCATTCTCTACTCATAGTCTACCACGTTCATTAACATCGAAACATAATTGTTATAGTCAAGGAAATAATAATAAACATGAAAAAATGTCAACATTCACATCTGTCATTAAATCACATGGATTACTACCACATTCACCATCATTTTCTGTTGTTAATGAAGTTTATTCAAATTATAATCATAGTCAACCTGAACAAAACTATGCCAATACACGTTCTAATTTATCCTCATTTTCACAACCTGCTTCACCTGCATTCTCTCGTTTAATTTCAATTAGTGATAATTTGAATACATCACAAAATGAACCTATTGATACTTTAATAAATAATAGATTAGCTTCAGTGCCCAATTCTATACAGCAGTCTGCATTACAGTTTACTATGTATGTACAAAATATCACTAATAATAGTATGAATTTTGGTAAAGAGGGTAAATTTCAGGTAGGTGTATATAAGTGTGTCTAATTTGTCCAGTTTATTGAATATTTTTTAGATGTAAATAATTTAATTTTTATATCACTTTATTTATTCACAAAAGTGTTAAACAATTTATTTATTTATTTAAACACATGAACATTGATACAAAGAGGCACCGAACATACATGCTCCACACAGATCAAATGGTTTGTGTTAGGGCTGCGACACTGCTTGGACGCCCAAACCGAGTCATGTGGTTTTCTTAGGAATCCACTCCCCAAACCTTTGACCTAGAGGTCTAATCCACAAGGTGGTGGGGAAACGTTAGTAGATGTGCTCCCATGGTAATCGGTGAGCAACAATAGGTTCATAGTCCCTCAGAATCCTGTAGCTCATGTCAACCATTGGTTTAGAACCAGGGTTTTTCAACTTCCCGAGGTGGCTCCTTCATATCCACCAACCGGGCTAAGACGTCGGACATTCACTTTCCTTCCTCTCAATTTCGTAAACAACGATCCCACTGCGAGAGGGCATTAAGTAGGACAATTTGAATAGTGGGAACCTTATGCATTTAAATCATCCATAGATTCATCATATATAATCAACCAAAGAAATAACGTAGTGAAGTTAGTTCGACTGGTGATTTTTGAATAGAAACGGTTATCTTAATGTTATAAAAAATATTTAGCTGTTCAAGGAAGAGTAACATTTTGGTTTTGTTTGGATTATTACAATAAATCGAAAACTATATTATCCAATGTTGCTACCCATTAGTTCCCAACAAATCTAGAGATTCCACTAATTGGTGGAATACGCTTTTCTCTTCATACAGTCTACATTAATCATTTCAGATTTTCGAAATGATACTATAATATGGTTTCTTCTGTTTAGAAAATTTCTTACCATACTTTTACTACAAAGAACATCAGTATACACCATTTTACAAGAAGTCTTAGCCTATGATATTACCCGAGAACAATAATCAGTCGTTGAAACTAAAGAAAAATAGTTTTTTATCTGAATTGAAAATCCCAGTAGAATACATTGAAATAACTTAATTATCTTAGGAAATACGTTGTGTTACTGAGTGTTAGACAGTTTGATCTTATTAGTGCAGAGCCGGATGAGAGATTGTTGAATTTTGTAGTTTACGTCATAAATATAACACAACTAGACAACCTTTTAAAATAGAAGGGAAGAGAACTTTTGCAACCTCCAAAAGACAAAGTGTGGTACCACAAATCTGTTTATTTTGTAGTCTGATTATCTTGGGAATTAACTTACCTGATAAAGCAACCAATCAGAGGACAACTATGGTCGCTGTACTTTCTTCATACTGAAACACGGCGACATAATTAACTAAATATCAATCTTGATTAGAAATATTATTTTAGAGATTATTTTGTATTTTCTCTCGATAGTTTCCTTCTGACTAACAATTACTCGAATATTGAAATAGATATCAATATCAGTAGAAGCGGAGCTAGGGTATTTGCCGATGTAAATTCTGCCTAGATTTTCTCAATCAGAATAAAATCTGTGGGGACTTGATTTCGATAGACATTTTATTTTTTTTAATTATATCGATAATATATTGTATCTCACTAATCTCATCTTTCACAACATACGAATGTGGTTAATAACGTATTTATCGATTCAAAGACTAATATTTTAACTGAGAATAGTGAATTTAATCCCTATGTTAGGCCTAGAATTGCTTAGTTTTTGACTGCTTTACACATCAGAACAAATGTTTTAGTTATAATTATTTGGTTATTCACTGTTTGTTTCTGCTTCATATTACTCGTTTTTTTACTTCTATCTTCCTACTTCACTTTTTATAGCGTTTTATTTGTCATGCACTTCGTGATCACCTACTCTCTGATTGGTTATCTGTATTGGCAATTAGTTCTATCACTTATCATATGTATGAACCAAGAAGTTTTTTATTAAGCCATGATTTAAGAAAAATAATACAAGATTTGTTAACTTCCCTGGATGAATTCAATTTAACGTTTGAACCTGCTCTACTTGGTAGTGATATTCAAAACTAGTTTGTACTTCTTTATATTTATTTGCTTCCGAACATCATTTTCAGGTTACATTTTATTCTTAATATTTGCCGTCCTGCAAATTCCTCTTTCATATTATCTACAGTTTTATTTACTTGAAAACACATAAACATCGGTACAAGAAGGCACCAGATATGTACGCACCACACTTTGTCTTTTGATTTACGTGTGTGCTGAAATATCGCTTGGGGTGCCTAAACCAAAGCAGCATTTTGAAAAGAAAGGAGAGGACAGTGATGATATAAAGTAGAGATGGAAACTTTTCGATCACACAACTTTGCGTTTTATCATTTTGCATATTGATGCAATTTATTTCTATTTTTTTCTCTGTATATTATCATAGTCTCATTATTGTCACGATTGACGTTTAACTATTGCATCATCACCATCTCCATAATTATCATTTATTGTTTGTTTTTATATCTTCAATTTGTTTTTTATCTACTTTTCTTTCAACAAAAAAGTAAAGATCTCTTTGAATTGTGTTAGATTATTCAAATGGAATAATTCCACAATTTCGACATTGAATATAATTTAATGAGTTGACCAATACACATAATATTAATTCTTCATAATATATATATATATATATATATATATATATATATATATATATATATATATATATATATATATATATATTAATCCCGTTAATAAACTTTTATAAGGAAGGAACAACAAAATTCATTGTTTGATGAAGGATGATAGGTGGAGCGATTTCATTCTATACGACGTGCTCTAAATCTATTCACCAAATTTGTTTTAGTTAAAAAGGGGAATATAGTATGTATTTATTTGACACATAACTCAAAATTGTCATGATTCACGTTATATTCAATAATTTTTTTTTAATTTTGTTATATTTTCTCATTACAATCTTTTATGTAGTAACCATTTTACACACACACACACATAATTTATTTAATTTCTTTATGATTTTAATACAATTATCTAGTCCATTTCTGTATTGTGTTGGAATTCTGCATTTTATTAGAAAGTTCTTTGCAATATATGAAATCTTTATTTTGATTTTATTATTATTATTATTATTATTATTATTATTATTATTATTATTATTATTATTATTGGTAGTAACGGTAACCAGTGTGAATCACTATGTGTATTTTGTAAAATTTTCTTTTGTTTCATATGTAACCGTTTTAATTCCGACCGTCAGGTTTTTATTTGTTTTTAAAAAATTTACAATAATCATTCAATTCGAAAGAAGTTCAATAAAACAAGTAACTTATTGAAAATGGAACAATTGTTTTTATTTCTATGTACAACTCTAATATTAAAAAAAAATTTTTTTCACTTACTGAATTGAATTGTTAATGAATTTGTTGTCATACTCTTTGATTGAATAATCTCAGTTTTCTGTATGTTATATGTTACTGTTTTAATACTTGGAAATATTTCATTGTTAGCCTCATAACGCTCAATACATTCAGAAGAATTCTAGTGGGGTTTTATTTACTGAGTTGAATAGTTTGATCGTATTGTTTTTATTGTCCTACCAGGCAATCCAAACTTCAAAAACAAGTGAGCTATGCGGAAATATTTTCGAAAGTGATAACCAGTTAATTAAGTTGATGACAAGGTAACTCGACCACGTAGTCTCCACATTTGAACCTTGCTCCAGATATTTTGGTTCGGGCAACTGGGTAATATCCTTGGTCATGACGAAATGGCGGCTCGAATGAACGATAAAGGATGTGGTTAGACGCTGCCACTAATTTTACTACCATTATTTATTTTGATTCACTTTTTCCTTAAACTTAGCTTTAACCATGTAATCGTTTATAATTAAGCGGCAGATTGGATTTGTTTCATTATACCTATTAACTGAAGATTACCATATTTTGCGGAAATTCTCTAGCCTTTGTTCTATGAAAATTTCAACGTTATCCTAATAGAACATGTGTGTTTGCATATGTTAGTATGGCTGAAGATATGTTATGATGTTTGCCACACTCAATTGGTATCCACGCAAACTATTGAATTGGTTACTTTGTTCGATTCAGTATTTTTCACAGTTGTGGCAGTTTATTTTGTAACTTGTGGTGTATGCTACTTATGTTTGCTGATATAAGTAGTATGTAACACCAATCGGGAGTGGAATGTCTGCGAGCAAAAGGTCGAAAAGATTGAAATGAAAAGGGAACCGAAAGCAATCAAGATAACAGGACTGAAACAACAATGAAGCTTGTAAGAGACAATTCAAAGACGATGTGTTTAATGTGTGATTTTCACGTTTTGCTAAACTACAGTTTGATTTTACATCAAACAATAAATTGGTTGTCCCTCCCCCTGAGTTCTCGTTCTCTATACTATTATAATTATTATTTTATTGTGTTATTAAGTCCTTCAATCTACATATGGTTTACTCGAACTAGTATAATTTCTTAAACAGTTCCTATTTCCTGAATTCATCGGAAATCCGTCCTTAATTCCTCGTGGAAGAGTGCACTACGAAATAGCTGGATGAAATCGTTTTTTAAACTATGAATCTGAGTTTCTATTAATGATTTTAAGTCATATCAATTAAATTATAAAGTCGTAAGCTATGGCTATATTACAGGTCTTAACTAATCCGTTTGCTCAAAATTTATGGAGATTAATTTGATTCATAGGTTTGGTTGGTTACAAATCGAACAACTGTTCCATGCCCCACAGTTTCGATTGTTATTCCAACTGAGATCAGTATGTGAGGAATGCTACCTGTAACATGTTTACTTGAAAAACCTAAAGGACTTCTATATGAATGCACTTAATCGATTGTGGAGGAAAAGTTGATATGTAATCAAAATATATTTCTCTGTCGTCGTGTAAAATAAAATGAACATAATTTATCGGCTTAATTCACTTGATATTATTTTACTTGAATCTTCCCATTGATGTTTTAGGACTGAAATTGATCAGTCTCTTACTGGTATATGTGCATACTGTGCGTATGCCTTGATATTGCCTTAATTTACAAGCATTATAAGCAAAGATGGATAATGGATAACGCGATGGCGTTTGAAGCGAACGGTACTGAGTTCGAGTCACAGAGTGAACATCAACTCTGAGATGCAGTCACATCCAGCTGACGAGTCCCAGACAGGACGAAACGCGCGTCCTGGATTCCAATGCTAGCCACTATCCATCTTTGCTTATAATTTATCGGCGTTCATTCATAAGATCCTGAGTATTGAGAAATTTTTCACATAATAAGTAGTCCTGTTAATACAAGTCCAGTTTGACCGTTAAAACTGGAGTGTCAGCTTCAAAGACCTCAAAAGTTGATTTCTCAAGCCTTACCGTCCTCTTTAACTTATATATGATCTTTTCGACCTTACTAAAGGTTGGGGGGTCTTGGGCTAATTTCTCGTTAAGGTTGTGAGAATGCTGGGTAACTTGAGACTAGCCGAACTGTTCTTCAAAATGTTCCACCCATCTGTTTATTCTCTTGAGCTGAAAATCCGTAATGGTTCCAACTGGTAAGAATGCTTGAACCAATTTTCACGCTAGTTAGCACGTTATATAGGCACGCCCACAAACTTGATGGAACTGTCGCCTCTTGTGTCTTAATTAGGAATATTGTCACTAAGCTCTTGTCACCTCAGTCGGTCATGATCCACTGTCACTGATATTCAGTTATATTACACCTTGTTCAGTGCTAAAGACTAGACATGACGTTGGTCACTACTAAGTGACCAATGTGTCTGTTATCATATTAGAATATTAAAGATTCCCATTGTGAAAATTATCATTTTCCCTGACCTTGAATTTGGTTATCATTTCCCTTACTGGTCAATAAGCCTACTTTACATCAAACGACTTGAGTGTTTACAACTTATTGTTTTTCCCTAAGTCTTTATTCATAGCAGAGCAGTAACTTAGTGCCTAAAACGCTGCTTTCAACAATTAGGTCGGAGATTTGAGTTCACCTATTGTCACGCAAACAGTATAATGGCCCAAAGCTGAGTAAATAAATCTGCTTGGTAAATAAGTTATATTATCCATAAATAATTCTATCCATTATGTTGTTCAGCTGGTCATTATTAGCTGGAGCACCGGTCAGTTTAAAAGAAAATCTTACCATTACCTTAGTGTACAGTTATGTAACTTTATAAATGCTTATCAGCTTAAAAATAAGTATAAGGATCAAATGAAATTAAAACATAGTGAAGGTATTCATACTAGTGGTGGGTTTGTGGAAATTATCGAATGTTAAGTAAACCAAAAACCGATCTAAGTTGAATAACTATTGTAAACCTGAAAGGACTGAACTGAATAACTCGGATAATGACTCAGATGTAACTGATATTCAAGGTAGAAGGGTTGTAGCGCACAAAATGTAATCACTTTATACTATTCCGAAATATTTGTCCCCAAATCCGATTGAACCACACTGGACTGCTTTAATAAGGTGATACCCCACACAACAGACTCGCGAATGGGATGAAGTTAGACATTTACACCGATAGGTGCTGACTCAATGATCGAAAGTTTAAGCATTCGCACTTGAAACTGAAGGTTCGATTGGCGCCTGGGGGTCGTGCTTCCGAGGAGTCTTATGCTAGGACGAAACATCCGTCCAGTATTTCCCTGTTTTCAATGGTGGTCTGACTTAGATCGATCCATAATTTTAAGATATTTTGGCTACATACAAAATTATTCTAAATCTTATGCTTAAAGACAAATTCCAAATATTGATTTAGTTGAAAAAAGGCAAGCTGGAAAATCCGAATACATCTTTTTCGTTTACTTTGAGGTTTGCGAGTCCTAGATTCAATTTCCAATGGGATTCGGGATATCTCTTGTTAACAAGATCGACCATTGGACGAAACACGCCTATTCTATTTCCCTAACTTACGCTGGTCCTTTGAATGATATAAGTCTGTGATTACTATTTTCCTTTTGTGAAGTAACATTCAGGTTTGCTAATCAATAGTCCGAAAAAATTACTTAGTTTCGTATTTATTTTCATATCACCTTGCAATAGTTGACAGTTCTATTAGTTTTCTTGGACGTGATGTAGAAACGTGTTTACCGGCAGCTCAATCTATCTGGAATTTAAATTTACACTATGAATTAGACTATTTCTGTCCATCATTAAAGTTTAACCTAAAAGTAAGTCGAACATTGTTAGCTCTAATTATTATGATTTTTAATTCATTAATAACTAATGTATAATAGTCATTTTCAAGACTGTTAGGTCCCGATAAACATAATGAATGGTAACTTTGGGATCCTTTTATGGACCAATACTAAACGTATATTTTTATCGTATAATTGTTAAGTAACTAATCATATTGCAGAGGCTAAGACTGGTGTTCTGGAATTAACTGGCTGGGCTAGGAGGAAAGCAGGACCAATCAGGGCTCTAGGCTTCTCGCACGTGTTCTACGCGTCCTTGGTCCGATCGATAATTCTCTGCTTCTGATTGGGCTATAACAAAGACGAACTACTGAGAAGTAGAATGTATCAAACAACTGTTTCAGTGGAGATTCTAAATAAACTCCTTCACTTTCTTACAGAATAAATAGCTTTATACATTTTAAATATTTAAATAAAACTGACGGCCCAATTGATATTTGTATCTTTCAGGTAAACGTAATTTTATCTTATAAACCAAAGTAACACTAACACTGAATCAATGACAACTTCCATTTTTTATCAGCCAACCTCTAAATAATGCGATGTCAAACTACCTCGGGGTGGATATCACTTATATAGTTGACTAATTGCCTCTCTAGTTGTTCCTGGGATATATTCTTGACTTTTCATCAAGTTGAACTTGAAGTGGTTTTCTTACTGTGGTTTTTTCGCGTTCAGTAAGACGCAGACAAATACGTGCTAGAACCAAACCATGATCCGAGTCTAAACATAGGCTCCAGAATGAGCGAGTCTTTTTCCGAGCTTTTCCATTGGTGGCTGATGCGATATGACCTATTTGGGCCCATCATTGAGTCGATTTCGAAGTCACCATGTCAGATAATGTTTTCCTTATGCTTAAAGTTAGTGCTTGCTAGAGAGAAACGATTATCTGAGCATAGCTGCAGCAGGTGATAACCATAATCTGTTCTTCGAGCCGCCATACTATACGATCCACCTGAGTGACTTTCGTTTTGGTTTATAAATTTAACGCATTGCAGGTAGCAGCTCATTTTAAGTGATTCGAGTTTAAGTAATGGATGGTACACGATCAGGGTGACTGGTCAGCTTTGTTTTTCGAAACATCAAACATATGGAGTCTCTTTTGTTTTACAGCAGTCGACTGATTTGTGGTGAACTCAATTTAGATGGACCATTTGTGCATATAATTCTAGAATAACGTTAGAAGACGAAGCCAGTCTCATATTTTTGAGTTCAAGAAAAATTTGTAATAACGGAAACGGAGATGGGGCAGCTGTATCGTTACGAATAGGAGAGAGGAGTAAATTCCCGTAAAATGAAGTTTATGCAAAAGTTCGCGTGTTTGTTTGACAGATTACGTATTCAACTTATTGAAAACGTAAGTTTATTCAGATTATATATATGGCTAACATAGAAAAACAATCGAAGCATTAAATTAAATTACAAATAAAACATTGATGAAAGGACAACAAAATAAATGCAATGACATTATCCTTTACAATGAGAAAAAGTCATGATTTATTCAACTGGAATATATAAACTTCATTCTACTTTGTGTATGTCGTTTTCTGTTTTATTGGTGTTGCTGCTATTATTATTATTATTAAAAGTGTTCATTTTCTGCAATTCCTCCTGTAGGAGAACAATTCGTCTTCTTATGTCATTCTTAAGATATTCATTATTTTCCGCCACCTCGTCATTCTTTTGAATAAGCTTAAACAGAAAATTAATAGATACGAGAAAAACAAATATACGAACAGTTGTAAAGGCACAAAAGGAACAGTAATCAGTGTTTTTTTCGAAGTTTTCAAAACCGACAAAGAATTGTTACAGTCTAACCGGTAGGGAATTAAATGCAATACACATACCATACACAATTCCATGTAGTATAGCATTATGTATTATACCTTAGTATGTGTAAAAGCTAGTAATGTCACCTAAGCTACTCAAATTGAAGTAGCGTTTCAAGCTTGTAACTTATTGATTGAAAATCAGATGTCTTGACCATTATTTGGTCGTTTCACAGGTGATTTTTTCCATAGTAGCAGTTAAGGCAACTACACAAACAAGTAAAAAGATGCAGTTAACGTACTTTTAAAATGTAACACAACCGCCTGTATCATTAATATCACATTTCTGTTCTGGTAGAATATCAACATTTGTACCGAAAATTCGTTTGGGATGCTTACAGAATGATTTAGTATAATGAAAACAACTTTAAAAAATAAACGTTTATTCAAATTTAAACTTGTTGTATCGAATACTATGTATATTCATGCGGTAATAACAGTTGGACTATCAGTGTAATCTTTGTATAGATTTAATAATTAGCAATAAGCTTAAAATATGTCATACATATGATGTATTTTCATTGATGATTTGTATCTGATTCCTAACAAATAAACCCACCACGTGTCCACAATAAACTACTGTAATTGTTTTCATTACGAGGTATAATCCAATTTGGACTTCATTAGAATGGTCGTTTTGGATTTACGAAGCAAAGTAATAATCTTTTGTTCCAAAGCTTTGGATCAGCACCTTAGTAACTTTATACCCATTACTTCAGTTATACGCTAAAATATCATTGTTAAGTAGCAACGAGAATCCTATCACGTGATATACTCTGTCACCAACAAGCAAATAAATATCTTATTTTTACTGCAAGCGGAAAAACTTGAAAAAAGTCAAGTGAACTTTTTATACTCCCTAAACTTAAGTAATCAGGAGAACAAAAATAGTCAAGTATCTTTTTAATCATAGAGTAATTCGGAGTGAAAAGTAATAATATGGATAACATTGTTGTTGGGGTAACTACTATAGTGGACTTCCTCCAAAGCTATTTCTATAGTTATCAATTGTGAAATTGAAGAGGATGACGGAACTGTGTAATCCTAACTCCAACGAATAGGGGTGATCGCATCTCCTCACTTTCCTAGTGTTTTGTAGTAAATCATTTACCAAGTGAAGGTTTATGTACTCTGCTTTAAACTGTACTGTTTGTGTGAAAATCAATTATACTACCCGAACGGCGAAACTTAAGTAGATAAAGTGGGATGTGAACCTGAGACGTAATAGCTGAAACACAAGGTTTACAGGACCTTTAGGCATTGTAAATATTCAGTGCTGAAAGTTTCACATGTTAACTAAATGGGATGGACTCGTAAATAATAAACTCTCAACTTGTACAAAGGTATGGAATAATGAATAATTCTTGATAAACCTAGTTAACGATAACTTACTTGAATCCGTATAATAAACCTGCATGTTAGCATCAAACATAAAACAATGAGATTAGAAGCTTCTTTTAGTCCATCTGCTACGCGCCATATACTAAATAGATGGAATAGCATAAGACTAAGCAGTATAACATTGCTAACATCCTGTGCAGTCCCAGAACAAGCTGCAAGTACAATACCACCGACAACTTCAGTCGTTCCATAAACTCGTCTAATTACATGAGGATTCGGATTCCAACCAGTAAACGAACTAAACGGAAACGTCTTGAACATCCTAATGAAGTTTTTTCTCTGTTAAACAGATTAAGGTTTGTTCTTGAAAAAAATTTACCACACTGCGATAAAGCTCATCAGAAAATAATGGACCAAGCTTTAACGTCCCAAAGAATACGAAAAATACTCCTACGGCCACAGAAATCGCAGTTAAAGCAGTACTGGACATTTTTCACGACAATAACGAATGCACTAAATTCTGAATAAGTAGTAAGTCTGGAATTTAGAGAAGAAACGTTTATCAGACTTGTGATTTTGATTGAGACTACGACTAACTTTTTCAACAGAAATGATTTTATGCATTAAGTTTCCATTATTAACTTGAAAAAAGAGCAATGATTTGAGCAGAATAACACAAATGTGTTTTATTTAATTTGATTCTTATCAGCTGTTCACACTATTTTCTTTTAGTTCATAATCTTACGTTCAAACGACTGACCTTGACTCGTTTAATCCTTAACTGTCGTTGACCTGTATTTTATTACTTGACTACATATCAACCCAGTTTCAGCTCTAAATCTTTTTTTAGTGCCCAGACTGACGTCCTAGGACCTTCTTTTACACTTTTTATTTTCAATATTTTTTATTCAGATCTTAGCTACACCACACTAAAGTTTCCTCGACCGTTGTTGCTACCTTGACATGGTAGTCGGGTTTGCCTATCGTGATCAACCAGTCGAGCTATGCTGGCTGGAACAATCGTTCCTCAAGGCCCTACCATGTCAGACAGGTCGACTGAAGAGCGGTAAGACTAAAAGCAAGAAACTCAAGGTCCGAAGGCGAAGTCGTACTGCTGACTGTACAGAGGTGTGGCAGTAGTAAGGTGTTTCCTTCAGACAACCGGCATAACAGTGATGCTGCCTTCCCACAAGGAGAGGTGGGGTTAGAAAAGGTCGACCCTAAAAATGCACACTTCGCCTTATCCCACGGATATCCGTCCCCGGAGGTAAGGTCTCAACAAGTACGGAGCTAACACGGAAATTACCCACAAAAAGGTCGTGCGTGACCGAACTTAGGCAGTTGTCCCTTGGGCACTGTGGTCACGCTCTCAGGTCACTAAGACCACCTCTGATCCAATTTTCTTTTCAGGTACCTCCGGAAGAGTTCCAGTGTGGGCATCTGGGAAGTGATAATCGCCCTCGTACCTCTAACAGCACTCAAGATCACTGTATTCATAATCAATCTTTCTCTTCAATTTTTTATTATATTTACACTAAATTTTCATCAGCTTCACTTCTAAAAAATATATTAACTTATTTGAAAACTAGTTTCCAAGATGATTTGGCGTAACGAAATAAAACTAATTTATGTCCATTTGCTAGAAGTGTTTTTTTTCTTCAAGGAATAATTCCAACATCAGGGAAAATCGCTTGACAAGGAACTCTACTAAAAATGAAACTAAGAATGTCTGGATTTACAAGAAATAGTTCTGTTTCCTTCACCAACACATTGGGTGTTATTTGCTGCTGCAAAACGTTTTGCTGACCGTATTACAAATTGTTATTAAAATGCAGGAAAACCACAGTAGTGTCTATTACGACTCACTTCCCAATTCATGAGTGAAGCAGTGACTTATTCTATAGAGCGCTTGGCTAGTGACTATTAATCCCCAGGTGTGAATACAACTCCACTTTTTGTGTGAGCAGTTGAGTGGTCAATCAGTTACGCGCAACGTAGAGCCTAGTATGCGTGTGTACATTGGTCCAATTAGCCATACCCCCTGATCACAATGAGATGTAACTTTTTAGGGTTAATTTCAGAATAGTACAGGTAGTAACAGTAGTGGTAATAAAAAATATTAGGCACCAGAGATATCACTCAATAAGATAAAAACTAGTGAAATTTAAAAAATTATGGGGAAATGAGAAGCTTAGACTCCAGGGGGAGACAATGAATGGATGCACCTGCGCCATCCCAAACGATTTTGACTCAACCATTCAAAGTCTCTAAAGACAATCACGAGGGCCCCAACCAGATAATCTACGACTGTTGACACGGCTCAACCTAATTGTCAGTGACTTCACAGACTGGTCCCAAGTCTTAATTTGACCCCCCTCCTAGCTTTCTTCTACTCTACTCCTACACTACACAACGCCGCCCATCGAAGTAGATGGTGGTTGAGTATTCGTAACACATATCTCAACAACCTCAGTTGATGACGATTTATTGTCTCATCAATCGGCTTGCAGCATTTACCCAATGAACTACCTCTAACTCGGTGGTTCAAAATACACGAGCGGTACCTCGAAGACATTTATGATCGGATACTAATAACCTAAGAATATCCTGTTCCATATCCAAGAAGTAAGATGGAACGAACTGCTGAACAGCAAGCTTGTTGTTAAGTTGGTAGACGAATATCTCGCCTACGTCATAAGTGACGCGTGTTGGCGAAAGCCAGTCAGGTTTTTAGCATTCATGCGGAGATTTCGGTAAACACTAGAATTGATGAAACTCTCAAGATGATTGAAGAGAGTGGATAACAGTCCTATCTTCTTCTGAGATAGACTCACTAACAGCTTGGTTTCAAATAACCATCCCCTTGCGTCTTAGAACTCAGACAACACAAGTTAGCTCTTTTAAATAGTGATCAGATTGAAACATCTTTTTAACTCTTAGTACTTGAAAACATGTTGTCCAACAACGAATACAAAATATGAACTAAAAGCAAGCGTCAAACAAACGATGAAAGCAACTTTGCTGGTTTACGCTTTATTTGCATTGGCAACTAGATTTCATGACTACAATAAGCGTAATTCAGTAGCTCATGTAAGTAATGTTTGTGGCTATCATAAATTCCTTTTAGAGACAGTGGGAACAATCAGTATAAACGTACTAAAGTTATTATTTTAGCAATCCTTAATGAACTACATATGGTAAAAAACAGGTAAAAGAATCTTTTTCCTTTTAACTCCTCTAAATTTCAAATAATTAAACTAGGGACGAATTCTACTTCCTTGAAAGTCGTGTTTACGGCTTTTGGTCGCGTTGTCATCTCCTGCTTGTTAAGTGACGGGAGCTTATTTTAGTTGTTTTAGGATCAGTCGTTTGATTTGAGTAAATTACTCGTAATAACGTCTGATGAGATCAAACTCTCTAACCACGCTAGGGTCATGTGTAGTCTTATTTTGGGGGCTTCGCAGAATACTCTGTGACTCGGAATGGAAATCTAACGGAGAGTTATCAACCAAACGGACACTGTTTGTGGCTATTTTCCTTTCTCTTCTTTATTTCCCCACTGCCGCCTATTTTCCCTCAGTCCTGACAACCAACTCGGAACTACTTAGGACGGTGATGGTTTTATATGGATCTACAGATAGCACCTTAAAACCGTAACCGCAAATAAACAGTGACATTTCACACCTTATTTGTTTTGAAATATATTTGCCTTTTGCATGTTTCGCAGTCGGGTATTTTGCTCTTTCCGTAACACCACTTACTACAAACAGATTCTTCGTTGTCAGTACTCATGTTTCCACTCCAGCCCCGATCAACATTCTTGCTGACCAACATGAGAAGGCTAATTGCCTCTCGAATCGGTAATCTCATCTTCGAACAGCAAAACATACAAAGTCGATGGGAGTTAGACATTGAATATCTTTTGTATGCATTGAGATTTAAACTGGCACACATCTTGTGGAACCACTTTTCTGAAGTCATCACGATGCATTCCTTCCTCCGCACGAGAATAGAGGCAACTACTGCGAAAGAATTTAAAGGGGAAAGTCGACAAAATACACGAGATAATCACTAGTGTGATAATCAATTAAAAAAAGTGCCACGAAAGACTTGGAGAAAATTTCAAACCTTGGCCGGAATAATCTAAGTTAAATTGAATCAAGTGTGCTTTTGATGCAATAAATACTCAAAAACAGAGTTATAACTTTGTTGTAAACTAAAGTTCACAACAAATGTGAAATCACTGACCTTTCTTAAATAAGCACCCAGCTAGCGCATACAATGCACTTACATTTATCACAGAAAGCAACTGACAACAATTAGCAATAACACTAGCTTTAAATTAAGATAACCTTGGGACCAAAATTAGTTCAGCCGCTTCCAAAACCAGCGGGTAATCTTACAATTTAAGTGTTCCGCGTCAGAATCAGTGTCACTGTAAAACGTTTCAGTTTCAGTTTCAGCTTGGGGAGGACATGAAGCTTGATGGCCTTTGTTAGTCCTGGCAATGGTGGTCTCTCAGTTGATCCAACTTTCTTTTGAAAGAGTCGACGGATGGAGCCTCAACCACGTTCTGAGGTAGTGAATTCCATTTGTTGATGATTCGATGGGAAAGTCGATAGTCAGCTGACAAGTAATTTGTTCTCGGCTTGTGAACTTTTTCGGAGTGTCCTCGTAAATTCTCTGTTTTGGAAGACAAGAAAAATGAGGGCATGTTAGGTGCAAATTTATCACTAAGCAATTTGTAGACTGTAATCAAGTCACCTCTAGTTCTGCGATATGACAACGGGAAAAGGTTCAGCTTGGCCAGTCGAACTTCATACGAAAGCTTCACTATACCGGGAATCAGCTTAGTCGCCGTTCTCTGGACCTTTTCCAGAAGCTCACTGTCTTTTTTAAGCAGCAGCTAGCCACTTGTATGCAGTACCAAAGTTTAGGACGTACGAATACTGCATACAAAGTCAAAAACGTTTTAACGTCGACATGACTTAAAGCTCTACGTATTGACCATAAGGTTCTTAAACCTTTGGCGGCTATTGCACAGCAGTGTGCAGTAGTCTTTAAGTCTTGACTAACGATAACTCTTAAGTCATTATATGTCTGAACGATAGGTAGCTCAGTGTTATTCATTGTAAATGTATCTGTGCCTTGATGACCGATATGCATCACAACACACTTGGAAGTATTTATCGGCAACTGCCATGTTTGAGACCATTCAGATAGCTTCTTCAGGTCATTTTGAAGTTCTAAGCTATCACCCTCACATCGTATCGTTCTCCATATCTTGACATCGTCAGCATATAGCAAGACTGATGGTGATACGAGACAAGGAAGGTCATTTACATACAAGAGGAATTGCACTGGCCCCAAAACTGTACCTTGGGGCACTCCACTAAGCACAGTTTCCTAGCTAGATAGCTTTGAGTATACCCTTACTCTTTGTTGACGCCCAACTAAGAAGTCTTTGATCCACATCAATAAATTGCCTCCAATCCCGACTTTTCTTAACTTATATAACAGCCGGTTGTGCGGAACTTTGTCAAAGGCTTTACTGAAATCAGTGAAGGCTACGTCTACAGGTAGCTTATGGTCCTTCAGATCGCACCAGCTGTCACGAGCCACTAATAAGTTAGTGAGACAAGAATAACCTATTCTGAAGCCGTGCTGCTTCTGCAAGAGGATCCGGTTTTTATCGAGATACTTAAACAGCTCCTTCCTAATAATCTTTTCCAAGATTTTAACAACCACACTAGTTAGGCTAACGTGGCGGTAGTTCTCAGGTTTATGTTTCATACCTGTTTTGAAGACAGGACTTACTATGGCGTTTTTCCAGTCTTTTGGTAAACGACCCTGCGTAACAGATAGGTTAAAGCATGTACTTAAAGGGCTTGCAACGAAGTTAGATAATTCCTTCAGTAGCCTAGAATGTAATTCATCAGGCCCTGTGGATTTGCCTATGTCAAGCTTATTTAGCAGACCAAAGACATCGAGTTCTTTAATGGTCACGCTATCCAGTGTATGTATGGGGGGATCTGTATACGCTGACGGGAAGGGCGCTTCTATGGTATATACGTTGCTAAAGTAGTTCGAGAACACTTGAGCCTTACCAAAGTCGTCCTCCACTAATGATGAAGCAGTACTGTCTCCCCATAGAGCAGGAATATTTCCTCTTCTCTTTGTCCTTTGGTTTATATAGGAACACAAGCGTTTAGGACATTCTATGGATTCCTTAACAAGTTTTTCTCCGTACAGTTTTCTAGACTTACGGAGGGTCGAGGCACAAGTATTCTGAGCCTTTCGATACTGAGATTTTGACTCATCAGTCCCCAGTAACCTAAATCTATCCCACATTTTTCTTCTCTTACGGAGAAGAATGAGGACCTCCCTACTGAACCATGGTGGGTAGTTTCTCGGCCCCTTTGGTATAGTCCAAGGGATGTGAGGTGTGGTAACTTTTAAGTACGAATTTCGAAATGCGTCCCAGGTCGTTTCAATTGAGGACTCTGGGTATATTAACGATGTTGAGTGCATGACGTCTGGTATGTTTGCTTTCCAGATGTTGGGTCTGGACTGGACTGACGCGTGCTCGTGACTGGCAGTTATATGGAAGACAAAAGTTATAACTGCGTGGTCACTTTTACCTAGGTGTGGCATATGATGGAGGCTCGCAACATCATCCTCATAGTGAGTCAGTATAAGATCTAATAAGGATGATACAGTGTCCGGATCGTACTTTGTCGCTACTTTCACATGTTGCACTAGAGCACATGTGACAACCCCATCAACTAGTTCCTACTCGAAAGAATTCTCCGACGATTTAGTTCGCAGATTTTCCCAGTCAACCAAAGGTGCATTGAAGTCCCCTAGGATTAGACATCGACCACTTTGGGACCAAGTATTGAGACTGCTTAACAGGATCTCATTTTCCTCACAGCTTGGACTGCGATAGATCAAACCAATCAGCAGCTCTTGTCCCTTGCATTTCAAGCAGCAACTAACTAATTCACACGTCTCACTCTCATGGGATACACTATCGATAATGGCAAATGGGATACAATTCCTAATGAATAGAGCTACTCCCCCTCCTTTGCTCTTTTGTGTTCTGTCGGCCCTTACTAACGTAAAACCCTCGAAATCAAGTTCCATGCTATCTATAGCCTGTGTCAGCCAGGTTTCTGTTACTGCGATTATGTCTGGCTTTGTAGAGTCGATCTCTACACCTAGTTCCGATCGCTTATTAAGTAAGCTTCGTGCATTGGTGTAACAGATCCGAAGCTTCTTTAAGTGCCTTCGTGCTTCACCCAGAGTGGCTTCTGCATCATTCTCTGTCGAAGTCTTACAACCCGAAAATTTACAATTTTCAGGTCCTCCCTAGTTTGTACACCTTTAGCAAGGTGACCCCGGTCACATTTTGAGGCATAAGTTGGTTAAGCAGCTGCCTAATTAGTACAATGTCATGCTCAAAACGAGCTTTAGGTCCAGAGCTCTCACTCTCCTTGATTCTATGAAAAATAGCTGATCTGTCGCTATGATCAACTTTCGATTTTTCAACTACTTTTACGGGGGCAGGATTTCCTTTTATATCACTACTTTTCTCCCTTACAACCTGTACCCATTCGTCAACGGTGCTGGTAGAAGCAATAACAGTTGCGTCTAACCTAGTGTTGAATTTTAGGGGGGTTGTCGACGACCTGAGAGGTCGGGTTATGTTTACCGCTTGAAACCGATCGAGCCTTGCGGTTGCGACTTCTAGGTGTTTCCCGTCGGACCCCATCTGGGAGACGGGGAACAGAAGACCCTACTTTTCTTGAGCTTTTGTTTAAGGCAGGCCCTTTGGAGACTGCTTTTCCTTCTTTGACGGGCGTGAGTCGTCTGTTATCGAACTAACCTTAGTTTCCTTCACGTCGATTCGCTTGTCGACAGATCGAGTGCTGTTTGACGTGTACTAACTATGCTTGCTAAAGCACTTCTTTGCAGCATCAACCAGTGAGATGGCCTCGGTTAACAGGTTGTTTGCATCCGAGCAGCACTGTTGACAAAGCCATACACAAACTTTCTTACTGAACCGTTTGAAGTAGTTTCTGATGTTTATGCGCACGTGGAACGTGTGGACGTGTGCGTTTTTGGATAGATATTTCTCATATAAACGCCGCAATTTTGTTTATTTCCGTACGTTTTAGACAGTTTTAGCTCATACTTTGTGGCAAATAACAACAGACTATTTTAGGGTTTATGCTCCATTTGTGAGATTGCCCGATATAAGAAGTTCATAATGTTGATATATGTCTTTTTCCATAGGGCTTCTTGTTTAATGATAAGTATATTAAACGTAGTTCCTCGCTTTCTTAAAACCAAAATTCATACAATGACCGATTGCTTTTCAGATCATTTATATCTGGCTTAAAAACTTTCGTATGGCATCAATGATGGATCATTTTGTCTAAAATATAATTTGTATGAGATTAACTCAGCAAAATACGACTTTGAAAGTTACTCAAATTCCTGTAATATGAACAAAACTTACACAGAAACTGCCGTATACGCAATTTGTAGCTAGATTGACACATTCTGTTTTCGGACAAGTGAAATGTGGTGCGTTTTGAGTACTGAGATGCCCGACAAGAAAGTTATGAACTTTAAGGGGTGAAATTCAAACCCCGTTTGAAATAGTTCTTTGACATATTTTTGGCTCACTAAATGAACAAAATTCTTCAAGCAATATCAGTTGTTATATAACAACGTGCTCAGTGGGTATGATACAACAATTACTGATGTACAAACAGAAAACATGTCGATAAACTTATTATCCTACATATATGTAAATATCATGTTTCTGCACAATTATCTGCATGTTTTAGACAATACAGTTCAAATGCCTCTCGGTGTGTAAACTGCTGATCAAAACGACAAACATTTGGAGTGCCTTAGTTTTTCCTACATCATTACGGCAATCCGGTGTACAGCTATCAGAGAAATCTGTCTGTATTTATACGGAGGACTCGCAAAATCAGTTGCCAGATTATGTTCTTGTGACCTGATTGAATCCATCCAACTTATCAACTGTTTTCATAATAAATGTCGCTGTGTCAGATCAAAATCATATATACAACCATAAAAAGGCGACTGATTGACTCGTTACTGTCCTATCAGTGGGAAAAAAACGTAAGGATGGGCCGCTAAAAGTTGACCAGAAACATCTTGATAATCAGAAAAATATTACAGCTCAAGTATTTAACCCCTCCTATATGCGTAAACATTATATTCCTTAGTATTTCATGCTGAAGAGAAAGAGGACGATGGCTTACACAGAGTATATAAGCCACCTAGGTTTAGGCATCGATCACGGATTCTGACCAAACGTAGCTTTTCATCTTTTCTCATGTCCGAGTAACTTAGATCCGGAGAACGTAGTGTTTGGGAGCGAGTTTCATGTACAGAAGTAACAACTTGGCACGCAATCGAACCACCTTATTCCTAGATCTAATACCAATCCAATGGACAGGTCTGTTAGTTATGATATGGCTGTATCCCTCCGCATTGGGCCTGGCAGTAATATATTCTTATTTTGATAGATTTTTAGCGATGCCTATGACTGATATTAGATGTAGTAGTAGTAGTAGTAGTAGTAGTAGTAGTAGTAGTAGTAGTAGTAGTAGTAGTAGTAGTAGTAGTAGTAGTAGTAGTAGTAATAGTAGTAGTAGTAGTAGTAGTAGTAGTAGTAGTAGTAGTAGTAGTAGTAGTAGTAGTAGTAGTAGTAGTAGTAGTAGTAGTAGTAGTAGTAGTAGTAGTAGTAGTAGTAGTAGTAGTAGTAGTAGTAGTAGTAGTAGTAGTAGTAGTAGTAGTAGTAGTAGTAGTAGTAGTAGTAGTAGTAGTAGTAGTAGTAGTAGTAGTAGTAGTAGTAGTAGTAGTAGTAGTAGTAGTAGTAGTAGTAGTAGTAGTAGTAGTAGTAGTAGTAGTAGTAGTAGTAGTAGTAGTAGTAGTAGTAGTAGTAGTAGTAGTAGTAGTAGTAGTAGTAGTAGTAGTAGTAGTAGTAGTAGTAGTAGTAGTAGTAGTAGTAGTAGTAGTAGTAGTAGTAGTAGTAGTAGTAGTAGTAGTAGTAGTAGTAGTAGTAGTAGTAGTAGTAGTAGTAGTAGTAGTAGTAGTAGTAGTAGTAGTAGTAGTAGTAGTAGTAGTAGTAGTAGTAGTAGTAGTAGTAGTAGTAGTAGTAGTAGTACAATAACCGAAATAATTTTTTGGTACCCAACACATTAAATATACTACCTAGAGACAATCTCAATTTTTCGTTAATGTAGAAACAGATTCTCTATGGCTTTTACAGGTAAATGGTCAAATAATACGCCTTGATTTTAGTGAAACTACTTTGCTTATTAATTTAAATTTAAATTTAATTGCACCTAAAAAAGAAGACTTTAATATAAAAGAATTGAAGGAAAACAACACATCTCGGTGACTGACTTCAAACTAAACACTGGTTAGACGAAAAATCGACTACAGACAAAAAGTAGATAAATTGAGAATAATAATTAATTAATTGAACACACTTACAATAAGGTTTTCTATTGGCTGGATAATTTTAATGAAATTATTGTTGCTACGAAAGTTTAAAAATATATAACTCCCATTATTTTTCTGAAGATGATCTTCATTAGTTGTTGAAAATTCATTCAAAACTGGTAAGTAGTATCCAGTTGTTTTGTCCTGAGTTGGAACTCTTCAACAAAACGTATCCGTTGCATTACACTCTGTCTGATCTAAGACTCTTAGGCTTCATAACAAAAATTAAGTTAGAATCGAACTTCAGTTAACTTTTCTTTTCAGTACAATCCCCGTTCAGCATCACTGATGAGTTACTGCGTCACTTCTCACTTGACTGTATCAGTCATGACTTTCTACTAGAACTTCAGTGACTGTATCTTGAATTTATGTGCCAATGACCGTTCCATTTCCACTAAGCTTGGTAATGTTATCAAGCCAAATATTTACTTCGCATTCACCTGTTTTTTTTAACAACCAACGAGACAAAATGTAATACTGAAGTTATCGTCTGTTATGTCTTCCCGTAATCTCAATCATGACTTATACTATTTACGTAGTCTCACATAATCAGACAATTCGTTTCCACAAAATATTTAATATAATTTCTCAGGTATTAGTGAGGATTCTTTGTGAAATTTCAACTTATTATTAGTTTACCAGATTGCAGTTTATTTGGATGAACAGTTTTTAATAAGACAAAAAATTCAAAGGTGCTAAGCTGATTTGCTATGTAAACAAGTCACATTTCTGATCGAATGTTTACCTATTCCACTATTATATCTAATATGGTTTCAGAAACTTCCTCCAGGGGCTTAAGGCCGTCTGAAATAGTAAAAATATTCTCATTTTTCTGTACTTAAATTAACCTTGGAGTGTAACGTTCTTTTCACATTTAACGTCTTTTCTCTTGCGTTCAAGTTACCGTGTAGGTTCAACCTGGGGTTATTAGAAGCGTCAAGAAAATCGGTTCGAGCTTTTAGTTAGAAGGCTTGTCACCTCGGTTTCTCACTAGAATTGTGAGAGTTATTTCTCCTAATTAGTCACCAGTGGATATTTTATAGCCGTAATATACCCGTGTAATACATGTAATATGTGACCAGATTGTTCGAAATGTATTGCGTTAATAGATCACATAGTTCTGCTAATCTTCGTCTTCTAATATCATTATCGAAATTTATCAAAGGGACTAATTGTTTTAAATACATAGTAAATTATACGAATTTTTTATTAATTCAGAGGAGAACAAAATGTATGTATATTTCCCCATCATAATTTATTATTCTCAAAATATTTGATAGAATTTTTGCGCTTTGAATTATTAATATGATAAAACTGTTGAGTTTGAATTTCTTAAAGCAATAAGAGAATGAAAGACATGTGATTAATCACAAATAAATGGGTCCAAATGTGTGTTGTGCTCGGATGAGATCAGTTCGAATTGGGGTTTATCGTTTATGCCAATGTGATCTATCAGGCTTGTTCCAGGTCGAATTCGATTGTGATTAATTATTCATTTTTCTAAAAATGTTTACATTTGGAAAGTTTTACAATGAATAGCTATTCTTTAAGTTTCACAATCCTGGGGGTTGTAACACTGCTCTCAGTTTCATGCATTTATTTACTTTGATAAACTTTCTTTACAAAATATTCACTAATTATTTCTTATATTTTTGACTTGATGTTTTTCTCATCAAATCTCCTCGCTCTGTGCTCATCAGCTTCATAGTTGAGAAAGTTGCTTATAGTGTCTAGTACTATGTTAAGCCCACGGCTTATTCTAGCTTCTTGACAGACCAGTTTATTCATTCTTCTTAAGTCACATTCTGAACATGTCAATCATTAACTTATTAACCCTGACTATTTTTATATGAGCGTGTGTGTGTGTGTATCGTTTACCCTATTCATTACATGTCCGTAACTTATTTTTTGTCTGGATATAAGTATTGAGTCACGCTTTCTCAAAGCGAATTGGTCCACTTGCCTTCACCGTTTCACTTTCCCACTTTTCATTCTAAATGTTTGTTGAATAAACGAGTTCATTAAGTAAATTCATTCAACATAACCTGTATTTGGCTTCTCGTTACTCCCGTCACAAAAACGAGCGTAGCTTAGCTGATATACAGAGTTAAATGGAAGATTTATGTTCATAGCATATTCATAGGTTCATCGAAAATGGAGTCAGATCAATGGACCACTAAACGCTCTTTTCTTATTGGTTAGTACAATACTGTCAAACCATACACAACCAGCTTTCATCACATGATGAAAATCAACATTGCTTTCATCCGCAATCTATATGTGACATTCCCTGAACATTGCAAATAACGTTATTTTGTTTTGTTAGTAATTTGTAGTATTTAAGATTCAGTCAACGCGATGTTCGGCATTTTCAATTCATAACATGGATCGACACAACTATAATATTTTGTACATTGTAACACGATAATAACTTTGGATTTGTAACTATGACACCTGATGAATAAGCCATCAAAAACGATCGTTCCCTCTAATACTCTATTCGATCCCACTTGGTGAGCGTAAAATGTATCCGAATTCTACCAATTTACTTCATTTCCAACTTTCAATGACTGATAGGCATTCATTTGGTTTTTCCAGTTCTTGATTGAGATCATGAACCAGTTGATGTTAGACCATCACAATTGAAAACCTGGAAGCACTGGACGGCCGTTTCGTCCTATTGTGGGACTACTCAGCAGTGTGCAACCACGATCTCGCGAGCGGGATTCGAACCCAGGGCCTTCGGTCTCGCGCGCGAACGCTTAACCAACTGGACCACTGAGCCGGCATCCAATGGTGATAGTTTCTAACATCAACCAATCCACGAAATTGTGCGACCAACTTCCATTGTACTGAGGAAGATAACTGTCTCTACCCGACAAGGTCTAACATCAATTGGTTCATGATCTCAATCAAAACTTAATAATCTCCACAACTCCTATACTAGTTTTCCAGTTCTCTCTGTTAATTCCAATCTTTGTAAACATACAAACTGAACAATTTGTCTAGTTTAATATCTAGTTGTATAACACTACTTCATGGGGTAGTTTAGTGATAATGAATTTTATGAATTAGTTTTATCACTTGTTATTAGATAATAATCAAATTTTTTCAGACTGCATGTTACTCTCACTAATGCTTGAGACATCTGAAGCAAACATCTATTTGGAAATATTTTTCCTCGCGTTTTTTAATCATAAATCATAAATGAATGTTAGACTATGTGAGATATGTTAGGTGGTTTGTAGCATATAGATGACTCACCCCTTATACATACGAAGCATATATATATATATACACACACATATCGTCAAACTTTTCCTCTACCCTCTTGCTATTACCAGACCAACGGAATACAACCGATTCATGATGAAAAAAATTTATCCAACTAAATAAAGGTTAAATTGTCTAGCTCCCTATTCTTTATTCTTTCCCCAATCATCGATAGTCACGCGCATTAGCACACGTACACAATCCACATACTAATCGTAGTCATAACGTCTATGTTAGGCTCTCTAAATCAGATCATATTTATCTACTGTTTTCAGGAATTTAGGCATATGCCGTGTAGATGGAAGTAACGCTCTAACCAGTGTCAATTGATAGTAAGTTTATTTTTGTTCTATTTTTTCTAAATATACAAACCATGTCACTCCAAGGTTAACGGTCTTAGCATATTCCTTTGTAAATGGGTTGATTTTCTTAAAGTTTGTTCCCAAACTATAAAAAAAATATTCCCCTAATCCGATCAGAAATTCAAAGAAATTAACGTACCTATACTTAGGAATATAGATACCTTTAAAACTTTCTCTACAAGTTGCATTCCTCCTCCATTTCCTTAAAAAAAGTGATGATTAAAGCATTAACTACCAAATATGACCTAATGAAACTGTTTGCAACTACAGTGTTTAGTAATTCGTTGAATAAATATTATTATTTGGAAAATTACAGATGTTTGTAAGTTCTCAAGTGTCCAGCATGTAGACAACTTCACTTCAATGTTTCCTACAGTTTGAATACATTTCGTTTCAGTGAAATGTCACTTTGTAATAAAATTTCAAATATTATAAAGTAATTAATTTTAATGGAGTTTTGTTCTCTGAGCTGGATGGTTTGAAGCAAAACATCATCAAAATCATCCACCTGAGCTACAAATCTTCTCCACCATCTCAAAGTAGCCAATTGAAATACCTTTAACTTTACTATGAATTAGTTGAGCTTAGATTAAGATTTCTAACGTAAAATCCAACTGTACAGCATTAGTATTTTAATATTATTAACATTATAACAGGAATGTGTTTTAGTTATATAAAACCATGTTCATTTCGAAGAGTTGAAACTTTCAACTTATCTGTATCCTTCCCTACTGTATTCTTACTATAATAACAATAGATGAGCTATTAATTTCATCAATGCCAACTTATAATTTAAATAACTTACCGTGCAACTATAAAATCATAATACCATGATTGTTAAACCTTTACTAAGTATTAGTAATGTGATTCAGTTTAATTTACACTACTCGATGTTTTAAAAAAAATTCTGTTCTGTAAAAAAAACTGTTCAACTATAGATTGTCGTTTTATTCATCCTTTCTTTAATTAATTAATTAATTAATCATATTCTTCTATGTGATACTATACTATACATAGATACAACTCTGGATCAAATTTAAATATTCTCAATTGCGCATATAGTAGCTAAGTATATCTTTTAGTTTTTTTATGTAACGTTTGACAAATTTCAATCTCTGGCTCAAGTTTATACTATAGATTAATGAAGATGACACATGAAATTCACTGCATGTTTCTCCAAATTTAATAAATCTAAGAAAATAAACATTATCGGTTCCAAAAAACTATCCTCTTATATATCTTTAACTGTATGACTAAATTATAATAGATTTCGTGTTAAGTGTTTTTCAGTATAGGGATTTGTGGAAATTGTAGTACTTTCACAGTTGAATTCACGAGCTGATTTAACCTAGACTACCAGTGAAAACGTAGAAGCACTGGACGGCCGTTTCGTCCTAGTATGGGACTCCTCAGTAATGCGCATCCAAGATCCTGCACCCCGGACTCGAACCCGGGATCCTATTGCATTGTATTGGAGTTGAGTTGTCACAAATATCTAACTGTCATACAATTTTTATCATATATAGTTTGTTACAAAGGTTGTTACATTTGATAGTAGTTCTTCAAAATCCAGTCTATTATCCAGCAAGTAGTTAAACTATCTAAAATAATACTTCAAATACGGCAATGTCAATAATTCTCTCGTTGAAATTGTGTCATTTAAGTGTTTTCAATAAGAAGTAAGACATGTTTTAGAAATGTCTTTAGAAATATCATTAGTATTCGGATTGCTCATTTGCAGTTTGACTTTTGAAAGCTAAATAGTGTTAAAATGGCTAACAAAAACCAAAATACTGGGACGAAATTAGTAAGCTACTAAGAAATTATTGAGTATAGTTATTTTCTATCGCGTTTCTTTACTTTAAACACTAGTACTAGGTAAAGATGGTAATTTATGTGATAATGTGGGGTAATCTTCATGAACAAAGGTAGTTGGGACATGTATTACGTATGTCTTATCACCGCCTACATAGGTGGGGGATGATGGCTATAATATTAGTATATTGGAAGAAGAGTAGAAATGGTCAAACCTGAATGTGACATCAGCCCATGACGTCATTGACGGTTGAACTGGTTCACGTTGGTGGGTGCAGGCTACTTGGTTGGTGTCCTCATGACTATCCTTACCAATGTTTGGAGACGTTAGGTAATAGCTCAGAATTGATCATAATGTCATAGATGCCTTCAATCTTTATCTTCCTTTAGTTTGTCAGTTTCGAAATTACACTATTTTTCATCCAGTAAATTCGTTCTTTCATCTCGAACCATATTCTTTATGTTTACTATTTTCTACTACCACTAATGTAGTTACTATTCCTATTACTCTGGTGTTTATTTTGATAACTTCATTTCCTATGCTGATATCATCGTGATAGCTTGAATCGATACACATGTATGCCAAATTCGACGTTACATATAACTGAGTGACTGAGTAGAAGTGACAGAAATTAATTTGACCCTACTTTAGATGTGAATAGAAAAAAAGCACTTACGTACTTTGAAGATAAGTCATATTTGTTGAAATATTGTATAATTCAATAAATGAAGCCATAAAACATAGTTGACTACGGTGGCTAGGCAGTGTGATATTTACCTTCCGTAATCACAATTCTAATCAGACTGAGATTTAATTATGTATGGTATGTAGAACCGTTCTATATTAATCTCAGTTGTTTAAAGTAATGCATGTTATCAGGATGGTAGTGTAGGTGAAAAGTTAAAAGTGGATAATTTTCCATATAATTGAGTTTGTGAAGAGAGCAGGATTTTCATAGTTAGAATTATGAAGTGATCTTAGACCAAACTGCTTCCATATTGTCAATGGTGTTTTAACTGGATAATTCACTGGAAAAAAATTGAATTACAGTTGAATAAGGGCTTCAGTTGTTTAACTTCACCCATATCTTGAATACTTACCATTGCGTTTCATTTAACTTTCTTCACTGCTTTACAAAACAATGATTTGAATACAAAATACATTTATATGTAAGAGGTTTTATTTTGGTTTATCTATTTGTATCTCTGAATTCTAGTAATAAAAAACAAGTTACTATTGTGACCAAGTTACGATTCAACAGTCCAGTATTTGACAACATTAGTAAACTCTCAATAAAGAGTAACAATTATTTGTTCAGATTGTCAGTGTGTAATTTTCTTCATTCTGACTTAACTAAGTTCCTGTTCAAAGTTTTCCACAAGAAATTCACTAATTGTTGTATTCCAATCCCTAGTGTGAAACCTACTAGTATTGTGCTCAATGGAAACAATTTAGGAACTAATCGAGGAGAATTTTTTTATTGTAACAAATCTATCAAGTGTTTTTTTTTTAATTCACAATAATAAAAATGTAAATGCACTCAAATTAAATAGTATGTGATAATACAAAATGTAATGTTATTAGCTGTTTATACTGGCAAATCCAAATATAGACTTACCCAACTTGATAAATGTTTTAGTTTTGTAAGTCAATGGTTTTATTTTTGTAACTTGTAAATACTTCACAAAAACGGTTCATCTTGGTTCATGAGAGGTCGGTTTATCTAAATCAGTCTGGGAGATATTTTCTATGACACAACTCTGAATGTTTCAGTTTAAATAAACAACAACGTAACAAATAATAATAATAGTCTAGTGTCTATTCATAGCTTGACTTTGTATTAGCTTTAGATTTTACATCAACGACTGATCTTTGACAACCAGGAACTACTAGATAGCTGATCTATCCTATCGTGGGATACCTCAGCAGAGCTTATCCATTACCTTATCCGGGATCAGACTCGGAACCATCGTAGCTTTTGATGAGGCCTTGACTTTCAAACTATCGAGTCGTCATCAGATGGCTTATATTTCCAACGTTAATTAATTCGCGATATTATTCAACCATCTTCCATTGTCTTAGGTGGGTGATTACCTCATACTCACGATAGTCAAACCCCGCTGGTTACGGCTTCTCATAGTGATTTCCTAAAGTTCCAGTGAAAATCTATATAATGTGGAGCTAGTGAAACCTTAAGTCAATCCGATGTATACTGATGATATTGGATGGGTATCTCAGTATAATCTTAACTATAATTCTTCAGTTTGATATTCTTTACAACTATTATTTAGTGCTAGTGATCAATCTTAGATTAACATTAAACAACTGTCCAATTCTCTTTAGGTTTTTACTAGAAGTTTTACGGAAAATGAAATGACCATAAACGAAACTGACTAATTGATCATATATTCATATTTTAATAACATATATACTACCTGTTAATATTATATTCACCATGCTTTTCAATTTCCCATGAAAGTAACTGGAAAAAATCAATCATTTGTCAATAACTACTAACCTATTGTTCAGCCTTATGTACCGAACAATCACTATGGACCAAATTTACATGTTGATATTAAGCAAATTGGTTTGATATGGTAATTCACTTCAATTGATAATGAACAAACGAAATTTACCTACAGGCAAAGCATAGTCACCAATTCTATTTTTGATTTTGATGTCAGATTAGTAAAGTATACATGGAACCCTAACAATCATTATTTTATCTTTTTTTTTTTAAAAATATTCAGTCAAATCTCTTTCAGGCTTAAAAATTTTCATCAATAAGTAAATGTAACAAATAGTATACAAAAAATGTCAGTGTAAAATGGATTTAATGTCATATATTGAACACTTTTTCCCCCATTCTTCCGGTTATATTTTTTCTTCAGCTAAATCAACATATTGGGGTTGTTCACTAGTGATTGAAATAAATAATATGATATTGATTTCCCACTAATAATACAACTAGGTTAGGTCATCTTAAGATTAAACATTATGGCTCTTCAAACATATTGGACTATACAGGATCAAATATAGAAAAAAAATGTATATATATGTGTATCGGTGTTTGTGTATGTTTGTACAAATACAAATAAGGATACAAACACATATGTTCTCCTGATAATTATTGTTATAATTAGGTCATCGTTAT